CTTAGTTAAAAGTTTTAAATAATAATTTGAAGCAGATCCCTAACATTCATGCAGATCCACAGTCCAAGGCCCAAACTAAATTAGGAACACAAGAAATAACAATCTCTAAAAGTACAGGCTTTAATGAATGCCTACTCGATCACCTAAAATACTAGGTCTTACATAGAATCCAAATTGCTATTCACCTGCAATTCTCCAAATGGACCTTACCATCTCTAACATCTACGCTTTTCTATCCACTACCTATCCTACTTAGCCCTCAAGAGTTAAGTTCAAGTCCTATCTTCCAGCAAGCATTGCTGGTTACACATGCATTCTGTGCCTTAACTCAGCTCAGTTCTCCAGCATATACCGCTATCAAAGCACTTGTCACATTGTAAAGCAATTAACTACTGACTTGTACAGTTCATACAACAAACTGTGAACTTACTAAAAGCAGGAAACATAGTATATTTAACTATGTATCCTCAGAGTCTGGGACATACATGGCACTCATTAGAAAGTCTATGACATTATGAATATTAAGCTCATAGTAAGAAATATTTATAGAACAAAATTTTAAAGTTAAAGACTATTTACAAAACTGTGAAAGTCCCTGAAAGCAGGAAGGAGTGTTATACGACACAAAACCTGAAACTCAGAAAGTACAAATTTAACTGATAATATCTAGAATTTGGAGTTAATCTCATCAGTGTCAAAACAGGTAATTTCCACTTTACCTCCAAAATATTTGAAAAACCAAAAGAAAAAAAGATTTATCTTTGTAAGTTGTGAAATTAATTAATTAAAATTGTAGGATTTACAAATAGTATTTGAGGGCAAATAAAGTGCTTAAACTGTGAGCGCTCACCATGCTATAAACATTAGAAGACAGGCCAAAATACTTCATAAAAAGTCTTTCAGGTTCATTTCACATAGGGACCAATTATACTCACTTTTAAGGTCTCCTTTAATGTTTTAACTTCAAGCAGTATGTTCATTCTTTCCGATAAAAGAACCCTTACCTTTTACAGCATGAACTACTTTTTGCAATCAGTTCTGATCTTTAAAGAAGAGGAATGAGATTTATCATGTGAAATCTAATTAGTTCTTTTAAATCTTGATAATGGAAACTTCATACTTTCGGAGAAAGCACATGTTACCAACATTTCAAAAGCCATAGAGCTCTTTGTAATTAGAATATTCTTTTCATGTGTTAGAACTTTGATTTGCAGAATTAAAGATCCTGTACTAAAAAAGTTGGGAACCAGGGGAAAATACCAAAGAATGAAAGTTTGTTTACCTCAAAAATAATGCAATTACATATTTTAGAACATAAATCAGCTTTTCCCACTTATGTGTGTTCCTTTCAACCTGCACTGACTGCAATTACATTTCAGAACACTCTATAAAAAGTTCAAGCATTCCATAGGTCACCTTGTGACTTAGAAATTTTTCAGATTTTAAAAGTCCATGTAAACAAGAGAGCTACAAAATTACAAAATTTTAACTGTTATATTATTGGAGAAAAAATGTTCAGAAAGATTTATATGGCATCACTTTGACGTGGTATAACCAGTAAATAAAACAAAATTCAGAAGACAGGGATAGCAATTTTTAATAATTTAGTCTATGAAAGATTTAGCTTTAAATTATAATATGCCAATGCATAATATATAATGCATGAAGTGTAAGTCAAACAATAAGCAAAAACAGAAACTAATATTTGCAGTACTAATTTCTCAAGCACCATGTGAAAATACTTAATGTATCCTTCTGCTAAATTACAGCTAATTTCTATCTAATTTATCTACAACAAAATATTTATCAATTCCCTATTAGTCTTATTAGGAAAAGTCAAAGTGTTTATTATTCTATATCTAAATTTCCTCTCCTGATACTTTATAAACTAATTCAAGAACACTTCCACCTAGGCCAAAATATAAACCTCAGAACTCACTGAAGGATTTGTAGGTGAACCTGTTTGGTGGTTTTACTGTGTTGTTTTGTTTTGTTCTGTTTTTTGATGGGGGGGGGGGGGAGGAATAGCTGGTCTTGTTTTGGTTTTTTTGGTTATAAGCATAGATTTTATGTTTTCATACATGAATAGTACATAAATGATACATGAATATAGTAAACTGAATTCTAAAGATACATTCTTTCAACCTCCAAAAAATATTCATCCTTTTATCTGCAAATACAGGTTCAGGTATATTTTACATCAAAACCATAACAGTTCATTTTTATATTTAAATATCTTACTAGAAAAAATCTATAAATTGTTTAAAGAACACAAATTTACAGAAATATTAAATTACACAACAAATATTGATAATCCAGCATATTTTCAAAACAAGTATGACTGCCTGTATAACAAAGAAATTCAATTTTATTTACCTTTCCCCACATGGGTAAGGCAAGTCAAAAAATGCACCAACAGAGGGGTGCCTGGTTGGCTCAGTCACAAAAGCATGTGATTCCTGATCCTGGGTTTGTGAGTTCAAGCCCCACGCTGGGTGTAAAGATTATTAAAAAAATAAACTTAAAAAAAAAAAACATATATATATAGTATATATCAGAAGCTATTCAGGAGGCATCTTTGGGAGTATTCCACATAGAATTCCAATTTATATTTCTCTAAACATGGGACAAGCCCTGTCCCAAGTCACTAAAGAAATAGTAAAACTTAAAAGGCATAATTCCAGCAAATATAACACAAGAATGTGTAATTTTGGTGTTCCTTTTGAAAAGTGAAATGTTTCAAATTTCTGACACAAAGTTCACAAATTGTATGAGTCTGGCTACAATTATCACAACACAGCTCTAATCAACTTTCTGAATATCATTTTAAAACTTTTAAAAAACCCAGCTGCAAGCTATTAATGTATCTCTTAATATCACTCTTTAATCCGTAACAATTTAAAACAGAAAAACACTTGAAAACTGTATTAACAATGAGAGATCACTAAACAAATGCCAACCTACGATAAACGTAGTTGTTTCTTCAAAAACTAAAACACAAGATTACAGTAGTAATCTTAGAAATAGGCCAGATCCATCCCTCAAGACTAGCATTTCAAAAATAGTTTGTTAGCTTTATATATTTAAGCCATTTGAAAGTTACAAATCTTAAAGCCTTTATTTACTTGTCTAAGAGCTATTTTTCAAATGTATATTCATAATTAAGTAACAAGTTTTGTAGTGTACCTTATGTCCAAATAAATACTTAAAAGATTTATCCTATTCAGTAGAAATGCCATAGGTAGGGAAGAGTCATATACATGTTATTCCTAAAAATTCTTGTCACTGTCACACAGAAAAACATCAACATTTGGTAAACTCAAAGTATAAATGTAAGCTTACTTAATGTTACAAATTGTACCCAAGAGCTAAGTTTCTTCAAATAATGTTAACAGTTATAAGGGCTATGGCATCGAAGGATGAGGGTAGAAATTAGTACACTAATAAACTGACGTCTTTAAATAAGACAATTTGTTAATGCTACATTCAAATACAAAAATGCTTGGATACACAAGTATGCCCTAGAATTCTGACAAACAAGAAATTTTACATCCAGGAATCGCGCCGAGTAGATACTAGAAGCTGACATTTATGAAGTGTACAAAACTGCACAAGTGAAAGCTTAGAGATAGACTGTTGGTAGTTATCATGATGGAAGCGAATACTATACAGTACACGTCTGCAACCCAATTTTGCTTCAGCATCCCCAGAGACTTAAAAAACATTTCTTTGGGTAGGTTGCAAAACATCGCTTCCTCTTTTATTCTCATCACCCCCATTATGATACAAAGCAACAGACAAAATCAAATCACCCACCAACTGTAAGTACTGAAAGCTTAAAAACTCACACAAAAGCATCTTTCCAACTCCCGAATCGGTATTCATTCCACCTGTTTGTAAATCCATACAAACACAAGAACACAAAACCTCTACTGATTTAAAAAAGGGGGGAGGGGGCAATTAATGGTTTGAAGTCATTCTTCTACCTAGGCATGGGGCGGGGGAGGGGGAAGGTACAAAACAATGGATACTGAGGGGCTGGGGAAAAACCTTTTGGCCCAGAAGCCTTCGGCG